TTGTCTGTATACAGATTATTCTCTATTGTTCTTATTATCATATTTTTTAAATATTCCACCTTTTTGCAAATTATATTGCTCGAAATAATAGCAATTTTTTTAGTTACTTTTCAACATCCTTCCGGAATATTTCTTCGACATATATCTAACATTATCTACCTTCTAATATGCAACTATGATATGAATTTTAAAATGTGGCAATTGCAAATCAACCTTGATGTCTAATCAATGCGAAAATATGTCCTCTCTGTGTAATGTTCTTTGGCACTGCAGCTAATTGATTCTTTGTTTTTTTTTAAACAATTTTACTAAAATTTATCTTTAAAAAATCTAACATTAATGTCTCTATAATAATTATAATCTCCAATTTTTTAAAGATCTTATTTTAGTGCTTTATTTAAAAAGAATTTTTCAAGAACTGTATAAGGGGAAAATTCCTATACATATATGTAAAGAAATTATAATTCATTATTAGAACTCTTTGATTTCAAAGCTATCTTTTGATTTTGTTTTACATTATTTTTTTCTTTTCAAAAATTTTATTACTTACAAAAAAAAAATTAAATATTTAAATTCTTCAGAGCTATTTAGTCTTTGTAGTTGATCCTGTTTTATAAATATATAATAATTTTAGAAGCGTTATATAATCGAGCAATGCAACTTTTCTTATCTACATCAATAAAACTCTCTCTTTGAATTCTTCATAAAGAAACTAGAATCTTAATAAGATTTGTAGAAATTTAACATCGAGATACTAATTTTTCACATTCAGGTGTCCAACTGAAACAAATATAATAGCAATTTTAGGTCACAAATATTTTTTATCTTATTGCTGCAACGTTTACACTAATGTTTACTAAAATAGCTTCTATAATTATTAAAGTAATATATCAACCTTTGTGCATAAGCTATTTTTCGTTTACATTTCGCGACGTCCTTGGTGTCTTGAAGAAATACCATATTTGTCGAGTCTCTATCGTTGTATCGCTAAACTGATGACGGTTTTTTGTTATCTACTGTGCTTCTAGGCGAATAGAAAAATTTCATTTATCCGTTAATATACCGTGCGATGTCGAATCGGCAAGAGTTGCGATTATAAATTTCGATCTCGTCGCGAGATCCCCTCCGCCTCGAAAAGAGGCGCGTTATTCAACATCGTGAGTAATGAACAAACTATTCGGTTACGCAAGAGCGAGGCCTGGTAAACGTACGCGATCTTTTAGTATCAAGGATTCCGCCGAAGTGCCAAATAAATCGGTTATCCGCGAGCGAGATGACGCGCAGTTATAGCAGCCTTTGGTGTCACGTTCGTCCGGTCGTGACAACAAGCCGACTGCCGAGGTCTCTGACAGAGCTTCATCACGTCGAGCCTATGAACTTGTATTAAGTGCAATATTTATATCATTTTTAGCGTCTATGTGTCATTTACAAATGTCGAAAGCATCGAAATAATTCGCGAATATACACGAAATAAAATCTACCGGAATACACGTGACTTTGTATAAGTATAAACGTTTGTATAATATTTACGAATGATAAAAAGATGATAAATTCTAAGCTATATTGAATATATAACTGTAAGATGGATTTTATAATTTTATTACGTATTATTTATTTAATAATTAAATTCCAAACAGGAAGTTTACGGTATCTGCTATGAAATCATAATGAACGAGTGACGTGTCATTTTTTAATGCCGATGTATCATTTTTAAATTGTTAATTATGCACATAAAAGAATAAAGTTCCATGGAATTCGATCAAAAATGCATGCACGTATGCTTATTAATTATGAAAACATATTTATAAATAGCAAACAGATCTCTCGTATATTCTGACACAAAATTTTCAGAAGTCACACAGGCAATTATTTCTTTATTATGACGAAGGCTTTATTATAATTCTTCATCTTGACAATATCTTTGTTATGAATGGTCAACACGCCATTTTTAGAGCGGATACGTCATTTATAATTGCATAAAATGATATAAAACAATGGGAACTTCCAAAATTTGACTAGTACTATTTGTACATATCATTAATTCGCCCAAAAAGCTGATGTAATACCGTAAACTATTAAATAAATTACAGCGATTGTTATTATATCGATAACATTATTAATGAGTCAGACAAATAAATTTATTAGTTATGGTTTTGAAGAACCAATTAGCAAGATACAGTTATGTCTTTTAAATTCAAGGATATTAGAGATGCAATCATCGGTTTTTTTCTCGTGGTTTCTGTAAAGATTTACTCTATTCTCATATCGAAGCAACAGTATGAATATGTATAATATGTCTCGTACATTTCTTCGTAAAGCTAACAATCAAGTAGCTATATTTCCATTTCTAATTGCATTCTTGTTGCGAACTGTCAAAGATGCTGTTCATTATCTTCATCGTTGTTATTGGTATCTCATACGTAATCACGTACGCCGAACTAAAGGCACACATATCTACGTACATATGAAAAAACTTTACATGTATTTATGCGATCTCGGTGCGACTACATAATGGTAAAAAGGAATGTTTCGCAAGTCTAGCAGTCACGGACGACATCAATACGACACGTTATGCGGGTACCAGGTTAAACGGGTAGGAATAGCAATGAATTATGTGAGCCAAAAGAATGAAGTTAACAATATTATATCATATTCTGTGAATTTTTTTAAATATATAATCTTTTATTCTCAATAGTATAGAAAATTACTAATGTATTGTAAAATTTTTGATATCATTAATTGTAAATTATTGAACATATTTTGAATATATAAATATTAATAGAAATTTAAATTTAATTATTAATAAATAAAAGTGCCAGCAATTGCGGTTAAACTTAAGATAAAAATAAATAATGTAATTATTAAAAAAATATATTATCAATATGAATATTATCAATATTTACCAATTATTTTCAAGCTTCTGAAATAAAACAATATAAGAAGCAAATATACTTATATATGTGAAAAATTTGAAAAGCAATTTTAATTGAATATAAAATATGTCTTTAATCTTTCTATTATTTCTAGTATGCACACGCGACGAATTAAAAATAATTCTTTATACTCGCGGAAAATTCTGATGACAAGCTGTATCAATACAGCTGTGATTGCCAATTGTAATGTATACATAAGAATCTCTGATCTCTGAATGCTATTTTCTAAAGTAGAAAAACTAATGCATGTTTATATAGCATATGTGCTTTGACAACAAGATTGATCAAAGTTCGAACGTAATAGTATAGGCAATACGTAGAATAAATAAGAAAATAATATTACTTGAGAACGACATTACCAAATAATGGCCTAGAAAAATGCAACATCATTGTAATTGCAAAAAACAGATAATGAATGGTCAAAATTCTTATTTATGATATGAATTGACTTTGTAACAGGCATTTCGCGAATGTCTCGAAAATTGTTAAAGCATATGCGTCACAGTCTACTTAGGCTAGACCTCGGCAAAATGAACAGCCTTACGACCGTCTTCTTCCTCGCCTTCTCGTTGCCGCTTTTATAATGATATTCTACTTTGTTAACGTCGGGCGCAAAGTCGGTAGCCATGATCCGTTTCCACGCACCGATGCACCCGACTCTATCACCACTATCGTCGTCGTCTCTCGTCGTTGTTTGTCATTCTAGAAATCTAAGAACAAACGATTGCGAGATAATGATGACGATCTCCGTAACACGATGCTTCATGAGCTGCTATTTTGTTACCTTTATGGGAACCGAAACACAGTGAAAAATATCACAATAAGTTACAAAGTAAATGTCTGTAAGAATGTCACAATAGTTTAAACGCGTCAGTTTGCCACGTAGCGTGAGAATTACATAAATGTATATATAAAATCTTATCTGTTATTTGAAGCATAGTAACCGGAAAAATACGAGATAAAGTCTACAATAATGAAACGGAATTTGCATGCATAATACTCAGGAAATGTTTAAATTGCATATTTATCATAAATTGGAATTGAAATATAGAGATGTGCGGGATACAAGTTACTTTGTCACAGTAATATAAGAATATGTTAATGAATTTTGCTGCTCAATAATTGCTTCATAATTCTTATCGAGACGAAGGCTCTCGGTTTAAATAGATATACGATTGTCCATGAAAATTTAATATAGAATTAGAAATTCAAGATCGTAATACATTTTTAATACAACTTTACGTATGTTATGCAGTTTTAACAAATAAAAAATTACTGACTATTATCATGATTTTTATAATTTTGATGACGATTCAGAAGATCACACAAATGGATGACTTGATCATTCAACACTTTAATTTCGAACAAAAAGCAAACGTTCGTGCTCGATCTACTCTTGACCCTTTCGAACTGGCAATGATCCAAAGTCAAGATCTGGTCCGCCTTCTATCAATTAAAGCGAGCACTCTTTGTAGTTAACGAAGTATATCGTACGAATATATATTTGGCAGGAATGTCAAACCTTTGCCATTTCGCTTTGTCGAGCATTACAATGCATCTTTCATCTTCCAGTTCACGGTTGGAAGATTCGAATGCTCCCACGAACTTTCCGAACGTTCAAGGTCCTCTTCTGAAGTCATTGCGATTTTTCATTTCCAAAATCCAAGTCCGAGGTCATGCAGATCATTGTGATCCGGATCACAATGATCTGCAACGAGATCGTAATCGTAAAAGGATATAAACGCGTTCGTGCAGAACACATTGAGAACGAGTCCCGCTCTCAATCGATCATTCTATCCATTGTATCTTTCTACTTGGGCGTACCAATTATCCATGGGAGTTTATAGTTTTTGCATATCATTATATTAAAATTATTGAAATAAATTGATGGGGGAGACGCGCGATGAAACGGATTATAAAAATAAAAAGAATATATAAATGTATATCATTTATTTATATTCTTCGTATATAATATAACGGATAAATTCCCGACGAGATCTTTTTTCAAGCGAATTTTTTAGCCGCCACTTATGAATAATATTCGCTCGAGCAAACGAGTAAACATATGTTGCGATTTTTATATTACAGCTTAAAGTGCCACTAAAGGTAAATTTCTCGGTCAGGCCAAGGGACGTGATTGTAACGATCACGAAAAAACAGTTAAGCTGCGGACTTAAGGGCCATCCGCCAATTCTTGCCGGGGATTTCCCGCACGAGGTCAAACTCGAGGAATCTACTTGGGTAATCGAGGACGGGAAAGTGTTGTTGATTAATCTGGAAAAGGTGAGTCGTGGACGCATACACATGTGGCGGAGTCTGCGCCCTCGCATTAGTAATATGCTTTTTCGCGACCTCGCCGCTCTTCGGCCTTGCCGGAACCGTAATTCCGATAGTTCTAGGATCGTTCGATCGCAGATATATGCGTGCGTCGAGATTTAAGATACGTATGACTGATCGACAATGAATCCAATGAACATGTTTTGGACATGCAAAATACAATATTTAATGAAGCACTAATTAATTATTTCACGATTATTGTATTAATCGTTTGTGATTTTATTTGCCACAACCTTCAAAATTTTATATGTTTCATGAAATTAAAAATATTATAATAATTACATTATAATAATTTGCGATACTGTCAAATCAAAGCAATTGGATATAATTATCGATTAAAGAATGCAAAATATCAAGGTTATAAAGTAAAATCTTTAAGATCGTTTAGATAAAAACAAAACATTATTAACGGTGATATAACTATAAATATACATTGTAATATGATATAATAGATTACAATATTTTCTCTAATCAATAATAAAACCGACATTTACCGTATGTAGGTGAATAAGATGCAATGGTGGTCTCATGTAATAACGAGCGAGCCAGAAATCAGCACAAAGAAAGTAAATCCCGAACCTAGTAAACTTTCTGACCTCGATGGAGAGACACGAGGCCTCGTAGAAAAAATGATGTATGATCAGAGGCAAAAGGAGTTAGGACTTCCAACATCCGATGAGCAAAAGAAACAGGATGTTATCAAAAAGTAAGACAACATATCTCGTCGACATTTCTGCCGCACGCGCATATATAAATTGTATTATATATCAATATTAATATTTTAAATAATTTGTTAAATTTTTACAGATTCATGCAACAACATCCCGAGATGGACTTTTCAAAATGTAAATTTAATTAATCTTATTTGTTAAATTCACTGATATGCTTAATGATATTATAATATTACATTGATACTAGTAAGATCGTATTTTGCTTTTTATTATCACAATGTAATGTGCGATTCTCTGCGTTCATGGCTTCGTATGTTTAAAAAACGAAACATATGCAATACTCTTCTACGCTTCAGAGATTGCAGAAGATGGCACCACTATGTTAGGCTATATAATAATGTATACAGAATTTTACTATCGATTGAAATGTTCTTTGATTATTTTTTTATTCTCTTCATCGTTCTTTATATTTTATTCACCTACAGCTTGAAAGGAAACAAATCGCACAGTGTTTTCAATTTTTATATTACATTTTTCATCTCTACCGACCTCGTCGATTGAAAGAGGATGGATTAGAATTGTATGAACATAATACAAGAAATAAAAATTATGTAAACATTTCTTTGCTTTCGAATTTCCAACAATATTAATTATATTTAGTTATATATAATTACTGATAGATATTTGGTTTAAAGGTAAGTAACGGATAAATAAAGAAAACTATAGATATAATCAACTGCGTTAATTTCTGTAAAAATTATACTTCATTCCGTAACTCCTTATATAAAAAGATACAAACATATTTTTACAGAAAATGTGAATTGTGATGTAATCACAGAGTGCAGCATAATTAGCTTTATATTTAATCTTTTCAAATGCAGTTTTGCACTTTTTGCCATCTCGATAAATCGAGATATAACTTGAAATTTGTAATCTGATTGCCTTATCATATTTTCTATCTTTATCCTCGTTCACGTGTGAATACTAATTATACAATTATAATTTAGGCATATCTTTTAACAATAAGTGTATTCATTCATCCGCCTGTTTTATCACTTTTGTAATCCAACGCACATAATTAGATAGTCTCGCGTATATACCGAATTTACCGCGTTTGCCGCAACCTTCGCCGAAACTAGTAATACCAAATATTGTCCACGGATGATCGGGCTTTCGAGGATCCCTGCAAAGTAAAGGGCCTCCGCTGTCGCCCGCACAAGAATCCATTTTTCCGCGGCGATAACCGGCACAGAACATATTGTCTGTGATTCTATAATCTATGTAAACTTCTCGGCAAGTTTCGGGTGACACTATTGGAACCTAAAATCAAACTTGACATTTATATTATTTATCAAATTACATGTAATTGCGATATCCTTATCATTACATTATCAAACAATTAAATCATTATTATTTTTTTTAATTAATATCTGGCATTATGAAATCGCGTACTCTGACTTCATGCAGCACATCCGTTCCAAAATCATCCGTCACGCTGGACTTGCCCCAGCCGATAATAGTGCACAACTGGTTCGTAGGTAAAGGCTGCTTCGACGCAGGCAAACATGCGATACCTCTCGAGGGAGATGGGGTCAAGATAACTGGTAAACGAAGTAGAGCCACGTCGTTATCAACAGTATCGGCGTCGTATTCCGGATGGATGGTCACCGAATCCACCTACGCAGTCATAAAATTAATCACAATGGACCATAAAATTATTTCTATTGAGCTCTTCGATCGCGATTCGTACCCTGAGCTCTAATTCCGTGCCTTCTTTCACCGTTAAATCGTGCTCTCCAATGCGAACGTACAGACGTTTCCTAATGCAATGCGCGGCCGTCAATACCCATTGTGGGGATACTAATGTTCCGCCGCAGAAAGCTTCCTGGAAAAGTAAAGGCAATTAATTTTGATTTAAACAACATAAAGTCTATTTTAGCATAATTTATAATTTTTTAGATTTCTGTGCTATTCTAATATTAATTTTAACTTTATTTCTCTACAGCTGTCGATTTAGCAAAAATGTAAGATTTATGTCGCCATTACATAACGTACTCGAAATCGATTTAACACAGCCACTTGCCACGGCCAACTTCCAGGTGTAGTTGGACGGCCGCCGATAATTCGCATAAAGTATGATAATCTAGCACTTTTATGAGAATTCGCCACTCCACACTTCCAAGTATTTGAATTCTTCTCCGGAGCGAAACTATCGACGGTGTTGGGATTGAGTTCGAACTCATCCAACACCAAGTCTAGAAAATAGAAGCAAAATTAATTATTCATATTACATAATACTCTCTTATTAATGTGCTGTTCAAGGTATTTACTTTCGCCATCTTCTTCGTGACTACCACGAATCTTTCGATGGATCCATCTTTGGCAAAAGCTACCTTCGACGTAACAGTAGGCGCTCTCTCGTATCACATCGCGTCCGCAGATGCCAGGTTTTCTGCACCATCTAATCAGTATCGAATGAGTATATATTCATTGACATTAGTTATATAATTGTATAAATTTTATATAGTATACCTATGACGTTGCGTAGTGCACAGCCTCGTGCAAGGCGACCATTTGCTCCATTTCCCGTAATGTCCTCCGGAGTGTTCTTTAATATCCTTACCTCTTCGATTTCCATGCCTAGGCTCTGCTTCTTTAGGTACCTGCCGAGAGAGCATATATACATTATTAACTAAAAATCGAAAGCGATTTGTATCGAGGAAAAGAGCGACTCACCTGGACCACGTGAAATCTTTCATCCCTTCGTCGGTGTCTTCGGCGTTGGCGTTGCTTGCATCGTCTTCGACGACCTTCTCTCTTATGTTGACAACCGCGTTCTTCCTATTATATTATGACAAGCCAATAGTATTGATTTATATTATAAGATAATACGATATATGACAACAAAATATTTTTCCATAACTACATATAAACGAATTTATTTTTATGTCATTGCAAATTCAATATGAATGAATACACGTATATATGTGTATTATAAGAGAATATATTTTATCATATAATGTGTCTCGATCTTTGAAAGATCACTCGTGATATGTCATAAATACATTCATATATTTTTACCCTAAGTACAGTTGATCCGCAATCTTTTTTCGTTCGGCACCTCCTGACGCGATTTTGTGTACAATGCCGATCGCATACCGACCATTCGCTCCAATTCGTGAAATGCGACAGCTTCGTCGCTTCTGTAAAGATAAGTAAAAGATATTGTGTGCAAAAAATATTTTTAGTTAAGAAGAGAAAAATATTTATGAAAAAACAAAGTAACGCGCGCACATACTTACTGTTCTTTGGTAAATATTCCACAGCAGATGGCTGATTGATCGGATGGAGATAATCTACATCGCCCTTAATTCCAAAGACAAATGTCTTATTTGCATTCTACAAGCAATTTTTAAACGTTATCAACAATAAAATTACAGTATATATATTCTTTGATTATTAAGTCAAATTTATATTTTATAATAATATTAATCTATAATTTTTTATAGATTTGTTTTTAATCGATATATTATTGTTACAATATTTGACCAATAATATTTTTATATAATATTGTGCGAATTTCGACATTTATTAAATATACACATCTAATAGATTAATTCGTTGATTAGTTGCGATTACATCATCTTAATAAAAGGATTAATCTCGGAGAAAATTTCACATCGCAATATCCATCATTTTTACAGCACTCCTATATGTTGGCAATGATTGTATCCTGATATGATTACTTTAAAATATTCTGAAATTGTCTGTCCTAGACTGATAGACTTAATAGATACGACCTGGTCAGTACTCGGCTGGTTCTAATATCGTCCAGTAGTCTCCAAGGCTGTAACGCCCAAGTCGCGATATTAAACTCAATTTGTCTGCTGGTAATGGCATCGCGACGTAACCGTTGTCGGCGTTAATCATGCGTTACGCGATGTCACCGTAGTTGACAGAGTACGTAGGTATATAAAATTACTGTTATTTCGCCGTCGCGCCTTGTCGAAGCTCCTCGAAATGTTTGCCCGCTATGAATCTCCGCAATAGTTCGGAGAGCCGTGATGATTCATTACAATTCACTTGGATTAAGGCACGATTAAAATAGTACTTGAAGCGTTCTTTTAACAGCCTACATATGATATAATATTATGTGCGAGATGAATAATGCAAAACTCGATTACCTAATCGAGGATGATTATCTCGGAGAAATCTAGTATTGAATTCATAATAGAAATAAAAAGGAGATATATCTCTCTCATATATATACATCGCCTAGCTTTTAGAATTTAAATAACGGTTAACTGTTATTAAAGAGTACTCGCTACCGACGCTTTTTGAAGAAGAGAAATATATTTGACATAATAAATCTATAATAAGAATAATAAAATTAATGAAGTTGAGGAATCGCCTAGTAATTTAGTATTAAATTATTGTCTAATTAAATCATATGATTTAATACTAAATTACTTGTTGAAAGGTGGAACGCGAGATAAAAAAACGCTAAATGAAGAAAGAGGCGAAACGACGTGGAAAAGACAACGATGGAGCGAGCGAAATTTATATGCGACAAGGTTAGCGTGTCCAAACTAGGCTGAGACGTGCGGTACCTTGCATCTCGGTGACGATCTTGTAAAAAGTTCATACCGCTAAAAGGAAAGACAATTCCGGAGGGTGAAGTCGAAGAGCATGTTGCCTTGTTGTCGACGCGACTTTGCCATTTGAAAATCTTTACGGGGTCTATATGAGAACGCACGACGAATGTCGAGGAATCTTTGTCAAAAAAATACAAAAAAAAAAAAAATAAATAAATAAACGACTGCGCTAAATAATTTATACAAATTTTAATTTATCAAACGAGCATTTTGATTTTCTTCATAATTTCTCAATATTTATCGCAATTCGGTAACAGACGAATTTTATTCTTTAATTTTCAGAAGGAGAAGGAAATCTATTAGAATCTAATACATCTATCTATTTATCGTCTCTATTTTTCGCTCATACTTTCCTCATCTATTCTACGAAGAAGTAATTCATTTTAAATCTATTTGCATAGCGTAATCTGCTTTACACACATATACGATTGAGATCTCTAATATATTTATGAAATATATATTATGATAGAAGATTAATAACGAAAATAGAGAAAAATCGAGATCGAGGAATGCTTTGGTGAAAATTAATAAATGCAAGCTATGAAGTTAAAACTGTTAGAGCGTATTTGATATACGACACACGTAATTCGAAATTACCATTTCTATGACCCAATCTGGATCATGAATGCACGAAGAAACATGATACAGAGGTCGAATGGTAGATGAAGAAAGGTTCGGAAGCCACTTCACGAGCTAACGCCTGAGCTATACCGTAGATGGTATCGTGGCTGGTCTCTGCCCACCGTGTCTGCGCATATTTTAATATTACGAGATCGACGCATTGATACCATGATGTACGCTTTCATTGACACACAGCTTCGTGCATTATACTTTTTACAGTTTCTCTTTGACAATTTTTCAACAATCTTCTGTAAATGATCTCGTGTTGTAAGAACAATTTATGTTTTTATGCAATTCTATCTTTAATTTATTCTCTCTTAACAGTTTATTGGTTTTACATCGGAAAACTCGGCTACAGCTTGAAAATTATAGTTATTATAGTAATAATTAATTCCTAAAATTGTAATAAGTTGTGATAATTCTAGTTGCATAAATAAAAATTTCCACACGCAATTCCGTATAAATCGCGAAGACGGAGGGAAAGTCGCTGAAAGATTCGTTTCGCATTCGTTGACGCTCTCCCCCCCGCCCTAAATGGTAACGTCATCGAGTCTGTTCAACGTCCGAAAATGGTTGGAAACTTTTTTAACGAAGGATTGCTACGGAGATTTAATGTGGGATCTTGTGGCCCTGCTTGTCTTGCTACGCTGTCAACGGTGTTTGCTATGGCAAGTTCGTGATCTGATTTATCTGTTCGTAAAATTAGAAGATTTTTGCTATATTTATTGATATCTCTAAAATCTTGTTGATAATTCTAGTTAAAATTTAAAATTTTAAGAAAAAGCAAAAGAAAAATTAACTAAAGAAATATGATTACATTATATATTATATATGAAGGACGCGCGCGCTTCTAATGATGATAAATTAGAATTTCATTGACGTGTAATCACGATGTAATTTGAGTATAGCTGTGTAATTATATGCCATAACGCATTCGTTCATTTATTCTCAAGAGAAATTATGGCTGCATTACATCTTTGACACAGCTGGAATATTTGATTCAAGCCCATCGATTTATAGAGAAACATAATTGCGATAGTATACTTACACGTATAACAGAATGATCATTACGACATTGTCACGATTGTTGCATATATGCGAGTAATATTAGACTCGTAATATTCATGGGACCACAATTTACAATCGCGTCAGCGTTTATTCTCTCCTGCCAACAATCGATTAAAGTAATGGACATCGTCATAAAATACAATAATGCCGTACACAGTTGCATCGACAGCTGTTAGGAACAATTCATACGCTTTGAAGCCCGTTTGGTAACGTGCACTCCTTGCCAGGCATAACAACGCGATTTTATTTCTCTCTTTTTGCACTACTTCTTGCTTTATACAAACGGTTCGATGCCTTTCAAGCCAAAGTTTACGAGAACTCATAAATACTGCTCTGTTTTAATTAAATTTTTAATAGCGGTAATAAACGCGTGCGGCTCGTTTAAAAAAATCGTCGTCTATCCCACGAACATTGTCCATGATGAAAGTGACTTCCTTATACTTTTACAAGTGTAAGTTGTTTCTCTTTCGCGCGATGTGTTTAAAATATAAGCCACACTAAACTATTTCGACGGCACTCATCCACGAAATTAATGTAATTACTAACTTAATGTGTATATGCAACATACTTTTGATATAAATAGCACACACAATTAAAATTATCATAATTGGATCTAGTCTCAAGAAAATTGCATCATTAAGGATATTTTTAAAATTCGAGGCGAAGAAAACTATTATATCGCTGTAATTTATTCTTTATTTCTTCTGATCCATTTGCGGTACAATATGCATCCAACACGTCACGCATTACGTAATTCTTTAAATCGTCTTGCTGACGAGTGAGAATATGCAAAATTTATTGCCAACCACAATAACGGTTTTACCTGCTTATTACGTCTCTCTCAAAAGTCCCATAGACATATCTCATAATCTCTTCATGCTGCGGGAAGATCATTGTGTATGATTTACTGTTTGCATTGTTTAATATATGTATAATTTAACGCGACAGAATGATTTTTTCCAAGCTGGTTGGAATATCATGCTTCTTATGATATCTCTGTCAAATCATTGAAATATTGATAATAATTCATATAGAATATTCTCGCGACAACATTCAAATCGAACATTAATGTCAGAATAAACTATATATCGATATTCCTTTGGAAGATTGCATTTAATAGACAAAAAAATTGACTGCACTTTTTCATACTTTTTTTTTCTCTCATTCGCCTCGAACTTTAAAAATACTTTTAATGATGCAATTTTCTTGAGACCAGATTTATTTATGATAATTTTAATATGTGTGCTATTTATATCGGAAATAATTACATATATACATTAAATTAGTAATTAGATTGATTTCGTGTAGCATAAATAGAGAGCGGCAAATAAAAGATTCGGGAGACAATTTTTCAAATTCACGGTAAAAACCAAGTTCACAAGGAATTAATTTGCGTCGGTGTTTCAAGTGGGAGAAGTTAGACCGTAAAACTGGCCATTATGATCGTTTGAGGAACGGCGGCAAAGGGAGTCACCTGCAGCGCTTTTAACCATCGCTAACCATCCGTTCTCTACTCGCCGTTCCCTTCGTTCGTTCTTCCACGTATAGTACGCGTCCGGCTTGCATTTATGGCCACGGTTATTTCCGGATCAGCGTCTCGTACCGACACCATACGCCACCGCTTTATATTACTAGGACTGTGTAACCCCTTATTGTTCCTTGACACTGGCATTCCCTCGCATGAAAGATTCTGCGCGAGATACATCAATGCCCGCGGCTAATTTTACAAGTACTCTATCGATACGCTATGCGGAACTTTCATAAAGGCTGATCATCATTTCCTCATTTCATTTTTGTTTTGTTAGATGCGATAGAATTGAAGGCGCGCTTTCACAATTTAATTTTCAATTTTAGCGAATTTATATGATTTATCTGTTTACAGTTATCGCAAAAATTGATATTTTTACTTATTAATATCTGGCATCTATAAAAACACACGCGATAAAGCGTCTTAGTAATAAATAAATTCCATGTGGAAAATAATTTAACCATTATCTGATTTTGCGAAATTAATCTGTCAAGGCAATCAGATTTATTTAATGATGATGAAATTGT